CTGCTGCTCACCCTGCTTGTGCTCTCTCTCGCTATCTCTCTCTCTGTCAAATAAATAAATCTTTTAAAAAATAAAAATAATTTTTTTTAAATAAAAAAAGGAAAGGCTGGATAAATAGTGGGTATTGGGCTAGGGTTTGGGCTTTGTTTAGCAGGTAATATATAGCCATTAAATGTTTTTATACAAGAAATGCTCAGCACTAGACTAACTGCTGGGTTGTTGGAAGACTGTCATGGTAGCAAATATAAAGTTACTGGGGGGTGGCGGCGCCTGGGTGGCTCAGTCAGTTAAGCGACAGACTCTTCTTTTTGGCTCAGACCATGATCTCATGGTACCGAGATCAAGCCCCAGGGCGGCCACCATGCTAAGCACAGAGTCAGCTTGTCCTTCTCCCTCTGCTCCTTCCCCTGCTCTCATGTTTGCTCTCACTTTTTCTCTATCATAAACAAACAAAAAATCTTCTTAAAAAGTCCTTTAAAGTTATTTGGGGCAAGGCAGGGAGAACTAGGAGGCAAGGAGATCGTGTGGGATACCTATTATAGTTTTTTTGTTTTTTTTTTTAAGATTTTATTTATTTGACAGAGAGAGATACAGCGAGAGAGGGAACACAAGCAGGGGGAGTGGGAGAGGGAGAAGCAGACTTCCCGCTGAGCAGGGAGCCCGATGCGGGGCTCGATCCCAGGACCCTGGGATCATGACCTGAGCCAAAGGCAGATGCTTAACGACTGAGCCACCCAGGCGCCCCCCTATTATAGTTGTAAAGATAATCAGTAATGAGTGCATAAATTGGTGTAGTAGGGCTCAAAAGGTAAAGGAGGGATCAAAGGAAAGACATTACCACTAAACTTTAATGAACTGAGTCACCTTTATTACAGACAACAGAATAGCTGCCCCACCTTTATTACAGACAACAGAATAGTCAAGAGATGTTAGACCTAAAAGTTCTTAGTCCTCCATTTTAGTAAGTTTGATTTGATGGAAACTAGCTGAAAATGTTGTAAACACACAAAAATCATCCTTCCCTGTTAAAAGTATAAATGATTATAGCACTGCTTCCCACTTTTTCTCTCCTGAGTAAATACTTAAAACTTTCACGTAACTCCTGCTTCTCAAAGAGTGAAGATCTGACAATGTCCACCAGTCAGTTCTACTCCCAACATTGCTTCCAACTCCCTCCCCCACTGGTCTTCAATATGTTAAGATCAAGAGGAAAAAGAAATTTATGCAAAATAGGTTAGGCAAGGCAAATTATCCCAAGTTAACACAATCTCTTTTTTTTTTTTCCACAGGAAATAGTTGTTGATGCTCTGAGGAGTTAAATTATAATAACACATGCCAGGAAGATGATGTCAGGGAAGGCGTGGTTAGGCCCTTTACAAGTCTGAGATTCCTTTAGTTCCAAACATTTCCTCTTTCAGTCTCACCTATACTCAAATCTCTCTACCGAGGCAACTCTTTGAAACACTGAAAGTGTTGAGACCCTAGAACTCTGATCTTTTTATTTTAATTTTTTTAAATGAGCCAAAGAGTAATTGAAGGCCATTAAAACAGATGTTTTTAAAACAAGCACTACATTATGTTGCAGAAATCAGTCTTTGAAATCCACATTCCCCCTTTCTGTGACTATTTAACTGCCAAGAAAAGAATGGATATTCAACACTACATCTTGAGAAAGAATCTACCTTTATTAGGAATTACACATTCGTTGGTTGCATTCCTATATTTACCACAATCTAAAACAGTAAGAAAACTATGCCGTGGACTCCTCAGGTAACAACTTCCCTGACAAGTGAAGTATACAAATATGCTTCAAAATAAAACAATCCTACTTTTTAAAGTCAAGGAAATAAAATTAATACACTTTCAAAAACGTCACAACACTGGTGTATAAATAGCTTTTGTGAGCTCACTGGTAATGACTTCTCCACAAACTAGAAGTGATGACTACAGTAAATTATGATGTAAAAATTCTCCTTCGGGGCACCTGGGTGGCTCAGTCGTTAAGCGTCTGCCTTCGACTCAGGTCATGATCCCAGGGTCCTAGGATCGAACCCCGCATCGGGCTCCCTGCTCAGCGGGAAGCCTGCTTCTCCCTCTCCCACTCCCTCTACTTGTGTTCCCTCTCTCACTGTGTCTCTTTCTGTCAAATAAATAAAATCTTAAAAAATAAATAAAAATAAAAAAATAAAAATTCTCCTTCAAGAAAGCAGATCTTTACAAATCTATTATACCTAGATTTTTGGATTACATAATGACAGACAATAAAAGCAGGTATTTAGAATTTGTATTTTTCAAAAGTTTAAATTCTGATTGTCCTTTCTTTCAGTTTTTTAAACATTGTGGACAGGTCCAAGAACTTTATCACATAGACTTGATCTACTAGAGAAACTGAGTTCTTAATAGAAATGGCAAATAAGTCAATGTCAAAATTAAAACTTAACCTTGTCATAGAAAAGTCTAGCGGGATATATACACCAAATTGCTACCAGTTATTCTCCTTGAGGGGTAGGATTTGGGTAAGGAACTTTAGGACAGGAAAGGAAGACTTAACTTTTTATTTTATATACCCCCTTATGCTTACTTTTTTTATGGGCATGTCTTAAATTTATTACTAAAAACAAAAGTTATTTTAAAAATGTAACTTTGGGGGCGCCTGGGTGGCACAGTTGGTTAAGCGGCTGACTCTTGGTTTGGGCTCAGGTCTTGATCTCAGGGTGCTGGGATCAAGCCCTGCAATGGGCTCCACGCACAGCGCAATCTGCTTGAGACTCTTTCTCCTTCTTGCTCTGCCCCTCCCCTCTGTGTGCACGCTCTCTCTCTCTCAAATAAATACAATCTTTTTAAAAAGTGTGAAATGCGTAACCTTGAGTGTAAAAATTTACAAATTACATGAACAAATCCATCTAAACACTCTTCCTAAAAGAGAAACAAACACATTAAGCACTACATGTCAACACAAAGACAAAGAGCAACATAGTAATGCTTTAAGTATACCCAATATTCACCAACCTATATATACACACAAGGAGTCATATATACAGCCACAAAGTGATGTCATCATAACACTGACCTGTAAGAACCCACACAATTCTTGCTTGCTTCTCAAACCTTACAAGTTATCAGAAGAGATAATGAGATTTGAATCCTAGGCCACAATTATAACTCTTTGTCCCCTATGGTATCCTAGATTTAGAAGCTGGTTAAATGTTTCCTACACTACAAGATAGGAAGGGAGTGAAGACAGCTAAGAGAAGATTTTAGATAGCACTGAATACATGAAACCCCTAAGAGGAAAAAAACTAACTTCTGGAATTCTTTTTACTTTATTTTAATGGGTCTAGGTAACCTGAGAGACTTGGAGAAAAAAAAAATTAAGTTTCATATAGTACAATATAAATTTTGAAAGGAATAAAAATAGATGAAATATCTTTCTGGGGGTGACCGGGTGGCTCAGTTGGTTAAGCGTCTGCCGTCGGCTTGGGTCATGATCTCAGCATCCTGTGATCAAGCCCCCAGCACCACGTTGGGCTCCCTGCAGATCAGGGAGCCTGCTTCTCCCGTTCCCTCTGCCCCTCCCCACCACTCATGCACTCTCTAAAATAAATGAATAATGGGCGCCTGGGTGGCTCAGTCGTTAAGCATCTGCCTTCGGCTCAGGTCATGATCCCAGGGTCCTGGGATTGAGTCCCACATCGGGCTCCCTCTTCGAGGGGAAGCCTGCTTCTCCCTCTCTCACTCCCCCTGCTTGTGTTCCTGCTCTCACTATCTCTGTCTCTGTCAAATAAATAAATAAAATCTTTAAAAAAATAAAATAAAATAAAATAAATGAATAAAATCTTTTAAAAAATTCTATCAAAATTATATATTCATATGTATATGTGTATAACCAACAAACATATATGGACCCATATTTCTTAAGGATATAAACAGAATGAATACCATTATAAACTGACACTAAGTGTTTTGGGTCTAAACATTTACCCACTGCCTTGATCAGATACTTTGTTTAAATTACCTATAATAGTATCTTTAGATATATGAGAAAGCAGCAGCAGGAATCCTTCCCAAACCCTCCAACACTCCATCAGATGGGCAAAAGATCCCTACACATCCATGGCATCTTTTTTCTTCAAACAGCTATATGCCAAGAGAGAGGGTAAAGGGTCTTTCTCCTACAGTATGAAGTTCCTCCTAATCAGCATTGCGAGCCCTGAAATGCCAAGAAACTGTCAAGGATATTCTCTGGTGAATGTGGGCATGACTATCCACCTCTCATTTGACTGCCCATGCTCCCAAGCATACCACAATTCTCTGGCAACTGTGGGTTAATCACAAAGACTAAGGATCCCTGCTGAGCCTGGCTTATCAGCAGAGGTCTAAGCACCAGCTCAGCAGCAGAACCCAAAGAATCACAGAGCTTTCTGCCTTAATTCCAAGGTATGTTCTCTCTTAGGACTCCTTCCCTACCGGCTGGGTGAGGTAGGGTCTCTACCTAGTCTAGAAGAGTATACTCAGTTCTTGATGAAGCTGTTGTGATTTCACAGACTATATATTTCAGCTACCTGATAATGCTGGTGGAGTGGGCAGAAAGGAAGGGCGGGGGGGCGGGGGGCGGGAGTAGAAACAGTTCATCAAAAAGATAAAAATAACCTTGGAGGGAGTGGGCAAGGGACTAGGGTTTGAGATGACATATTATCCCAGTGGAGACTGGGTATATCAGCAGGAAGTCAAACTAACTTCATTTCACAAAGATACAAACTTACAAGCTTGATTTGTTTTTAATTCCCCTGCCTTCTCAGGCCTCACACACAGGGACTGTAAACTGCTGGAACTTCAAAACCAGGTGAGAAAAAGATGCCGAAAGAAGTGGTGGAAAAGGGAGAGGCGCTGAGTGTAGAGAGGAATTCCGATCCCCTCTCACGAAGAATGTTAAAGCCAAGGGCACTCCCGGATCCCCAGGAAAGGAAGTCGCTGGATTCCAAAAAAGCACTTTTCCCTACCTTCTTGTTGTTCTTGTTATAGCCAAAAGTCGAAATCCCAGGCCTGGAAGTCACTGATAGCAGCATTTTCTCTTTAATGTAAGGGAGCTGAGAGAGAGAAGAGGGAGAGGGAAAGGGAGGGGGAAGAGAGGGGGAAAGAGAAAATGAGAGGGAAAAGGGAGGGGGAGGAGAAAGGGGGAGAAAAGGAGCAAGAGGGAGAGGAATGGGGGGGCGGGTAGAGAATGAGCTAGGGCTGCTTGTTTACGTCACTGAGAGAAGTTAACCAAGAGTCTGAATGAGGCACTTCCACTGGGTCCTAATGCCCCAGATGTTATTTTATTTTTCACAGTCTTGGTAGTTAAAGCAGAAAGAAAAGTTCTTAGGTCTACCCCTTTCAACTCCACCCCTTTTCCAATAAGAACAAGTTCTGATTCCTCTGAAAAGACACTGAGGATTTTTTTTTTTTTTTTTGCCTTAGAGCTATAAGATTTAGAAACAGCTTTCAAGCTTGATTTTAAAGGGGCCACTGGGACACACTGCCTCAGAGAACACGTGAGGTCAACTATACTGAAAACGAATATGTGAGATGAGCTCAGGACTTTTCCCACACTTTATACTTACAGTGATCTTCATGCACAAAGAAAGAACAAACAGAAGAGCTTGCCATAGAGCTGAGACAGAGTATGGGAAGTAACTAGTTTCAGATCCTCGGATAGTTCTATTTGTCTTCGGTCACGCCGATGGGCTAATGTCTCTCACTCCTTTCCAGATTCCCTCAGGCATGATTTCATACTTAAGAAGGAATTATCAAACTGGACTATGTCATAAATTTGGTGTCTAATAGTTTCCTTTCTTTCCTCCCAGCTTTACTGAGGTAAAACTGCCTACCTAGCAGTTTCTTCAACAACTGTAAACTATCTTGTTTGACTCTTTACCCCACCATTTTCTAGTCTTCAAGGTCCACGAAGCTGAAACAATTAAGAGTTACTCACCAAACCTGGAATTTATGCCCAAACTGAAGTTCACAGAGTTGGAATATTTGCTTCAAGTTGTCTCTGAGCTGTAGGAAAAAATTACTTTTAAAAAGCATATGCTTCACAGAGAAGAAAACACAAAGTCCTTAGGCAAGAAGAACCTAACACAGTTGAGACAACACTCACCTCAAACAGTTTCAAAGTAATGACCTGTGGAAGTAGCCTTAATAAGAAACTTGTAGAAAACCAAAACTTCAAGAATGATACCCAGTAATTCCTACCAATCCAAATGAAACAGGGATGTAAAATCAAAGCCTTCAAATCCCTTCTTCAGGTCACCTTCTGCCATCACAGATATTCTCTCAAAACACAAATTAACCCTGTCTGCTCTGCCACAACAAACCTTAAGCCCAAATCCTCCCTTAAATGAAGCCCCAGTCTCTCTTCCAGTTTTCTGGTCACCTTTTTGCTCTGATAATGGGACAGACAGGACTAACAATCTGCAGAGTAAATACACACATACCACACACCACCCCCAACCTCTAACTTTCATTTCCAACAGGACAGGAAGTGCCTGCTCAGCTCAAGGGACACAGGAAGGGTGGGAACAGCCTCAATGTGGGAGCCGCAAGGGAGACTGGAAGAACAGCAGTCAAATGCAATACATAAATTACTAAAGGCAACGCTCAGTGTTACCATATTTTTTTAAAGTCTCTTTTCTGCCCTCAGAGATTCTCATTCATTATACGCCAAGTCATCCTTGCCTTTTAGGCCCTTCATTGATTTCTTCTCCCTTAGTCTAACAATGTGGTACAAAAACCTTAATCTCTAAGACCTGATTTCTAATGGGATTTATAAAGCCAGTCAACCTATTTTAATTTTTTTAAAAACTCTAACATTCTCAGGGTGTTTTGTTCTCCTACTTTATTTCTTGATGCTCAATATTTTAGAATTTAAAATAGAGGCGCCTGGGTGGCGCAGTCGGTTAAGTGCCCGACTCTTGGTCTTGGCTCAGGGCATCATCTCAGGGTCGTGCCCCGCCCCCCTTGAGCTCCAAGCTCAGTGTGGAGTCTGCTTGAGATTCTCTCTCCCTCTGCCCCTGCCACTGATGCTCTCTATCTCTCAAATAAAATAAATAAATCTTTAAAAAAAAGTAAAATAGTTAAAACCATGAGTTTTAGAGAGAGACAGACCATGAGTTCAAATGCTGACACCATCGTTATAACTTATGTGACTTTATGTCAAGGTACTTAACATCTCTAAATCACTCATTTGCAAAATGGAGATAAAACCTACTCCATTAGCCTTTGGAATCAAATCTAAGTTCTAGTTCAGTTGTCACAAACTGAGGGACACAGAAAATTACCTCACATGTCTGTATCTTTTCTCACCTGTAAAACAGGATAAATAAAGAGTATCTATTTCCTAGAATGGTAGTGAAATAAGACAATACATTTAAAGCCCTTAGGAAAGTCTTTGGCACTTGGTAAACACTCAATAGGTATTAGCTCCATTATTATTAATTACTCTACTATCTCCCAGTGTGTATACCCTGTGGGTATTGTATAATCCAGATTGGATGATGTGAAGTGAATATTTCCAAAAACTAGTATCTTAGTTACATTCAAAAGATGATACTAGGACTAGGCAGGCTAAACTTTATAACTGGAAATACTGGATAAGAAGTTTCAGGAATCATCCATCCAATTTCTTTTCCTTCTCTCCATTCTATAAGCAAACAATCTGATCCTTCAGAAATTCTTTTTTTTTTTTAAGATTTTTATTTATTCATTTAACAGAGAGAGAGAGAGAGAGAGCACAAAAAGGCAGAGTGGCAGACAGAGGGAGAGGGAGAAGCAGGCTCTCCGCCGAGCAAGGAGCCCGACGTGGGGCTCGATCCCAGGATCCCGAGATCATGACCTGAGCCGAAGGCAGCCGCCCAACCGACTGAGCCACCCAGACAGAGAGAGACACAGTGAGAACAGGAACACAAGCAGGGGGAATGGGAGAGAGAGAAGCAGGCTTCCCACTGAGCAGTGAGCCCGATGCGGGGCTTGATCCCAGGACCCCAGGATCATGACCCGAACCAAAGGCAGACACTTAACGAATGAGCCACCCAGGTGCCCCTCAAACCAGCTCTTTATCTCAAGTAGGAGTGATGAACAATATTTTGGCCTATTATTAAATTGCATAATGGACAATATTTTTAGGAATAAACTTATAATGGAAACAAGATTTGTAGAAAACCACAGCTGTTGGACAGACACGTGAAAAGATGCTCAATATCACTCATCATTAGGGAAATGCAAATCAAAATCACACTGAGATATCACCTTACACCTGTCAGAATGGCTAAAATAAAAAACTCAAGAAATAAGTGTTTATGAGGATGTGCAGAATTGGGACCCTCATGCACTGTTGGTGGGAATGAAAACTGGTACAGCCACTGTGGAAAAGAGTATGGATGTTACTCAAAAAGTTAAAAATAGAACTACCCGACAATCCATTAATCACACTACTGGGTATTTACCCAAAAAATACAAAAACACTAATTCAAAGGGATGCATGTACCCCTATGTTTAAAGCAGCATTATTCACAACAGCCAAATTATGGAAGCAGCTCCAAGTGTCCATAGATTGATGAATGAATAAAAAGAAGATGTGGTATATGTATATACAATGGAATATTACTTGGCCATAAAAAGAATGAAATTTTGCCATCTGCAATGACATGGATAGAGCTAGGGAGTATAATGTTAAGTGAAATAAATCAGTCAGAGAAAGACAAATACCATATGATTTCATTCATATGTGGAATTTAAGAAACAAAGGAGCAATGTAAAAAAAAAAAAAAAAGAGAGAGAGAGAAAGCAAAATCAGACTCCTAACTATAGAGAACAAACTGATGGCTACCAGAGGGGAGGTGGAGGGAGGGTAGGAGAGAAACAGGTGATGTGGATTAAAGAATATACTTATCACAATGAGTGCTGAGTAATGTATAAGAATTGTAGAATTACTATATTGTACACCTGAAACTAATAGAACACTATTTTTTTTATAACACTATGTTAACTACACTGGAATTAAAACACAAAGCTTAATAATTAAAAAAAACCTACAGTTGTTGGGAAGTACTGCTAATTAAGTGTTTGAGATTCTACCTAACGTCTGATTTACCTTATATTTAGAAGGTAATTTGCTTGAATTCTGCTTTCCTTCTGGGGATAACTTGTACCATATCTTGAAACGCAGATGAAACATAAGATTTGAATATAAAAAATAATTCCTAAAATATCAATCTACATTATTTATAAGGCCACTAGTCACTTGGAGGCTTTACCAGAAGCATAAGATGGATGAGGACAGGGACTGGGACTATTTTGTGTACACTACTATATCCCTAGCATTTAACAATATCTGGCTAATTTATTTTATTTTTTTAAGACTTTATCTATTTGAGAAAGAGAGAGAAAGCAGGAGAGGGGCAGAGGAAGAGAGAGAAGCAGACTCCCCACTGAGCAGGGAAGCCCAACATTGTAGGGCTCAGTCTCAGGACCCCGAGATCATGACCTCAGCGGAAGTCGGGCGCTTAACCCACTGAGCCACCCAAGCACCCCTATCTGGCTAATTTAAAATTAAAACATATTTGTTCCAAGAATGAATGCGAGTATCTTGAACATTAAATTTACATGTGAAAAGACAGTACTCATTAAAAATGCTGAAAATAAAAAAAAAAAATAAAATGCTGAAAATAGTGTTGACAGTGATGGAATAGCAAGTTAAGATATCCAGGAGCTTTTTACTTTGTATTTACAACATACATTATTTTCCTTTTATTGTTCATTTTGTCATTATGCAGTCAGTAAGCTTGAATTTACTTACGTCTCTCATCTGTGTGCTAGATGAAACTATAACCCCATTATTGCATTAAAAAGACAACTCAAGGGGCGCCTGGGTGGCTCAGTCTTTAAGCATCTGCCTTCGGCTCGGGTCATGA